CGTCAGCAGGTAAATAAAACTGGCCCGGCCCGCCAGGGTGCTTACCCTGGCGAGCCGCGTGCCAAACGTTGCCGACCCCTGTTATAGACCTCTATCATATCCCCCTTAGTCATATCTTTTCCAAGCTGAAAATTCCTAGTCGTAGTAATTTCTCCTCATATGGAAGCTTTTCATCAGTATACATATGACACATCGCTCTATGTCTTGTTTGCTGAGATTGGGATTTGGATAAATGTGAGTTACTGGAAGTTTGATTCAAACACAACAGCGATGATGTTAGATTTAGGGGAAGGATCTTTAGGGTACGATGGGGATCCCCATTGGAATTAGAGTCCAAATTGGCCTCAGTGACCAAAAGTGTTTTTTCCACCCCTCTATACCTGATAAGATATTTGTGTCTGCTTTTCTTATCTCATGACCTTGACACTTTTCCAGACATTTTGTCCTCTACACTGGATTACTGAAATATGATGTCTAGAACACTGTTTCTCAATGACCGGTCTGTGGACCGGTGCTGGTCCCTGAGATTTCCCTGATGCAGTTTAGAAAAGCAACAAGCCAGTCCCTGGTATCAGAAAGGTTAAGAAACACTGGTCTAGACTGACTCTTAAAGATCACCCTTGAAGCTTCAGCTGTTGCAGAATGCAGCCATCTGCCTACTTTGGTCCAGTTAGCACCAGGAAGCATACTATATCTGTTCTTTGCCAATTGCACAGGTTTCCTGTATGTTTCTGTCTGTGATTGGAGGTGCTAACTCTGTTCTATTGGACAACAAATAACCTATAGCAATCTGGAAATATGTTTTAATAAATGCCACTGTCCTATGAGGATCAGGGGAGCACTATTGAGCTGGGGTCCATGGGATTTACTTCTAGATCCCTGAGCTCTGTACAATTTAGAGGCTCTGCAGAATCTGAAACCCATCCCCCTAGATTGGAACAGGCAATAGAAATTTAATGAGACTGAAATAACAGTTTTTGTGGCCTTTTTCTGAGGGGAGTGTTTTGGTCCTAAAAGTCTCTAGAAATGCAATATCAAAATCTGGGAGCTGATTTTCAGAGATGTTGAGCCATCTGCAGCTCTCATTAACTCTCAGCTTCTCTGAAAATCATACATATAGACTTTTTGATGGGTGGAATACATGCTTCAGAAATCAGTGTCTGTTTTTCCCTATTCCGATGGCTAGCTGATTATTTTATTATTTTTGTCAGATTTAAAGTAAAATGTGCAGTAAAATCATGTTGCTCCCACACTTAGAATTTGTTTGACAAATTAAACCTAGGTCAGAATTATAAAAAATAAAACAAAACTTGAAAATAGGAACTGGATAATGAAAATGCTAATAGGCCAACAAGTATAGAAATATTAGCAAATTTCTCTCTTTCTTTCTCTAAAACAGTCCTTTTTGCAAGGCTAAAGTGCTGAAATGAATGTTCTGCCTTTTTGTCTCACAATAAAGCTTTAGTGTTTTGGCAAAAGGCCATGAGTCAGTCAGTGCTGCTAGTTTCCATTATTTCCTGTTCAAATATTGGCACTTGATTATTTAGAGTGAAAGTGGCAAAATCACACATCATCTCATAGGAATGAATCATGTTCCATGTTGCTACTGCACATGTTAAAGGCTCATATCAGTTGAAAGTACACATTTCTTGATTTATACAAGTACACATCTTGACAAGTGCTGTGCTTGATACTCATTTATACCAACCAAATTGTGCACTGATAATTATCAAATTATGCAAAATTATGTACACTGTACATAACATTATTCTGTAGTTTCATTAAGTAGCTCATCAACAGAAAAGCTGCAAATCTGTCAGGAAGGATAATAAAATATAACTTTATATTTATTTGAATTCTCACCATCTATGAAGAGAAATGAAAGTAACTGATGTGAAAGTATAAATTCTAGTAAAGTGATAAACCTGATCTCTAAAATATAATATCTGTTATGTTGTGTTGAGGTTTCTATTTTTCAAAATGTTTATTAGATATTTTACTGACTTTTTGTCTTATTTGAGAATCTTTAGCAGGTAACCCCAAAATTATGGGGGAAAGAATCACTATTCACTACTTAGAACCCAATCCTGAAAACACTAGCGCAGGTACTTCAAGTACATAGGTAGTCCAAGTGATTTCAGGGGCTTCCCAGCTCTGACACTTATCTGCTGTGTGACCTAGGGTGAGTCACTTCAGCTCTCTGAGTTTGTTTCCACGCCCATCCCTTGTCTGTCTTGTTTATTTAGATTGTTAATTCTTTTGGGACGGGGGCTGTCACTTGCTATGTGTTTGTACTGTGCCTAGCACAAGGGAGCTCCAAACTCAGATGGCCCTCTAGGTCGGGGTTGGCAACCTTCGGCATGTGGCCCATAAAGGTAATCTGCTGGTGGGCCGCGAGACATTTTGTTTACAATGACCATCTGCAAGCACGGCCCCCCGCAGCTCCCAGTGGCCACGGTTCACTGTTCCCGGCCAATGGGAGCAGCGGGAAGCGGCGGACAGCATGTCCCTGCGGCACGCGCCGCTTCCCGCAGCTCCCATTGACCGGGAACGGCGAACCATGGCCACTGGGAGCTACAGGGGGGCCATGCCTGCAGATGGTCAACGTAAACAAAATGTCTGGTGGCCCACCAGCAGATTACCTTGATGGGCCGCGTGGCGAAGGTTGCCGACCTCTGCTCTAGACAATACTATAATGAAAATAATAACAAAAAGGGATTATGTGGTTTTTAAAATTAAACAAATATATAAGGGATTGTAGAATCAGGACTTTAGGTCCTTAAGAGAAAATCTTTAGTGTTATATAAAAGACGAGTTGAAGTATGCCTTCTGCCACAAAATTAGTAGCATAACCATTTTAAAATGTCTTAAAAAGTTTAAGATATGCTGCCACTCAAGTTAGTGGAAAAGTTCCCAGTGATTTCAGTGGGAGCAGGACTGAGGACTGAATCCATCACATCACTCTCAACAGCAGCACTCATTTGTAAATTAGCGAAAGAAAGGACACCATTTATAATTCTTCAGTAGTTAATTTATTTCATTCAGAGATCACATTCTTTCTGACCAAAAGACTTATAGGGAGAAAGTTTGATAAATGGCTTCTAAAATGTTGCCCTCAATTTTTCACATACTTTTTTCACACACAAATGGAATTAAACAGAAAGCAAAATTGTTCATACAAAAACTTGGAAGTCATCAAGAACAGGTTAGCATTTTTACGCCCAATCAGCAGGATGGTGAGCTTTTCTGGAGGCGTTAATCTCCTCTGAGAATCAGGTTCAAAGAATTTGGGTTGGAGACTTTTGAAAATTTGGCCCACAATGCATTGCTGTTTTCTCCATCTGTGGTAATCGTGACCACTTCCTGATATCTACAGTAGTTGCAAATAAAGTCATCTTTGGAATTCTTGGTAAGGTATCCAGAACAGCATGAGTTCTTGTAAATGGCTGTCGTGATGACAAATCACATACTGGATTGATTGATACATTATCTACTGATCAATTATTGATCTTTCTTTCTTTCTTTCTTTCCCCCTCTAAAAAATCTGTTGTGTATTGTCTCTAAACCTTCAACAGCTTCCCAACTCTAGAGAATGTGCTTTCATCTCAGAACTGTCTGGTATTTATTTTTGTGCCTTGCATTATAATATTTAGCAAAATGAAAATACTGTTTACCTTTTGTATGTTTTACTTTTGTATGGCTTCCCCCAATTTCATTCTTGGAAATAGATCACAAAGCAGACAAACATAACCAAGATAGTTATGTTAAAAAGTGAAACAAATGTTTAGGCTAATTGCCAAATCTGAAAGTTTACAAGTCTCTCTGTTAATAACCTGATAGTAAAATATTACTTTTTATTATTAGAATAAGAAAAATAGGGATAAACTCTTCAGTCTTGTAAAATGCAGATTCATCTTTTTAAAAAAATATTTTATTTCTAACTACATCTTTAAAATATTTTATTCCCTGAAGATATGTTTAATTTATTCATCCCCAGAGAATTTAGTCTGTGAAAAGCCCTAGCAGTCTGGTTTCTACACAGTCTAGGACAAAAGTGCTGATGAGGCATATCTGCTCTGTCATACTTCACGTGAAGCAGTGAGAAGGTCTGCTTTGATGATGTGAACAACACGTTTATTCATCAGCTTTAACTTATTTCATTTGTAGATTTACCATGTGGACACAGCATGTGGGGCTAGTTCTGGCTTTCCTCCTCATATTTCTAATTTGGCAGTTGAGCCCTTCAATAGGGTTCCCCTGGATAAGGCAACTTGCCATGTTTGTTAGTCCCTGTGTGAGAAAATAATTTTTATTGGCCCTGTACAGTATTTATTTATCTCTGAAATATCTTCTGCCGTTTTAGGAAATCAGGTTTTGACGCAAAAGCAGACAGTTGGGTGATGCCGATAAGATGATTAATTTGCATCACTGGTGCCATTTCATGTTATTTTTCTTTGCATTTTAAAAATTCTTTGTTTTGTTTTTGTTAAAAACAAGAGTTGTCTTCAAATATGCTTTTTGTCAATTTGGATCCTGTTTCATGGAGGATTTTCTCTCTTAAATTTCCTGTATAAATCTGTTTGCAGCTGGGTCTCGGGCATCTTACAGCAGCCAGCACAGCCACCTTGGCTCCGAATTAAGGGCGCTGCAGTCTCCAGAGCACCATATAGATCCTATTTACGAAGATAGAGTGTATCAGAAGCCCCCTATGAGGAGTCTCAGCCAGAGTCAGGGGGACCCTCTGCAACCAGCACATACAGGAACTTATCGCACTAGCACGGGTAGGTGGAAATAATTTGTAAAATTGTCTTTTATGGATAAAGTGTTTTACTTCAGTACTAAATCTCTAAATTTTATTGGTAATGCTAGAAAAGTTTATACTGTATTTGTAACTTGAAAAAATGCCTGATACAAATTGCAGAAGGCATTGTTGCAGATAAAAAAGGCAATCCCCTCTACTTCCTCCCCCTCCCCGCCCCCCAAAAAAATCTCAGGCAGAAAAATCTTAGCATTGGGACTATATGTTTTGTGGTTTTAGTATTTTTGTCTCTTGTGGTGGGAGGGAGAAAATGTTTTCATCAAACTTTTAAATGCCTTATTTAAAGAAATCTGATTGTTTTCAGATAACTAATCTAATTGCTTTCTCCTGATAAAATTTTGTGTGAGTCTTAAAAAGGGCTGCAAGGCATCTTCCTCGTGAAAATAATGGGACATTTACATTTTTGGAACTGAAGCAAACCAGGACCAAATGCGTTCTCTGTCTTTCTTTCTCTCTTTCTCATATTATATATATGCAACATACTCATACACTGTAGACATACAGATATGAATCATAAAGTTTCAGCATACCAGAAAAACAAAGCTGTTGATATCACTGATTCATCTGTAATGTAATAATGAATGATCATCCATGTTACAAGTTAGTGTACAAGTCCTATTTGCAGAGTGTCCTCTCAGCTATGTAAGATAGCTCTATAGTTGGGAATCCACAAATAGATATCAAATCAGTAGGGGTACTTAATGCACTAAGGAAGCAGAACGCACAAGCGTTAGAGCCAAAATAGTCTAGAACATGTAGAAATATTAATAACTTACATTAAGAATTGCAGTATTGAGCAAATTTCTGACATGTTTTTCTTTGTTGTATCAATCAGACACTGGAGATTTATGTCTCTTCCCAAATCAGAAGCTTCCATTTAGAATTGACAGAAGAAGTGAAGCAAAATTAAAAATATCTGCAAAACTGACTTTTTGCTTTAGAACAAAATGTCAGGCTTTCTTTTATTATGTTAGGACCCAATCCTGCATTTCTCGCTTATCCCATTGTGTGCATGGAAGTTTGGGATACGCAATGAGTATAGGATAAAGCCCTTAGAATGGATTCAGAGAAATGTAAAACCCTTTGTTGCTTAATTTAAATTCTTGTAGTATCTAGTTATTACTGGAGAATGCCACTTAGTTAATACTGTTAAATGCCAATGAAAGAAGCTAGCATTCATGTACAATATAACTTTTGCATGGAATCATACTTATATCCAGACATAACAACTCTGGTATTAAAAGAATAATTGGGTTGCAAAGTGTAGCACAGGACCCCTGCCTCAGTTGCTGAGCAGGAGGGGAAATGATCAGTGAATGAGGCGGCTGTTTAATATTCATTTTTATTCTCATCATTCAGCATCTGGCCTCACACTTCATACACTGCACACTTTCCAAACCTTGCCTTAAATAATATTATTTTTTAATTATGTATTGGTTTTCCAATATCATTCATCACAGGACTATCTGATTGCCCCATACCCATTAATGGATTTATCTTCACAATACCTCTGTGAATATTATCCCAATTTAAAACTGGAAAACTGAGGCCTAGAGACTGATTACTTAATTTTCAGAAGTGTTGGCTCATGGAAGTTCAATGGAGCAGTGAGTGCTCAATGCCTGTGAAAATTTGGCCATAATCTGACGCAGGTTCACACAAGTCTGTGGCAGAGGAAGAAATAGAACCCAGATCTAGGACCTGGAAACCCCTTAGGCCAGTGGTGGGCAACCTGTGGCCCGCGGACCACACACGGCCTGTCAGGATAATCTGTTGGCAGGCCGCGAGACAGTTTGTTTACATTGACTTTCCATAGGCACGGCCTCCCGCAGCTCCCAGTGGCCGCGCTTCGCCGTTGCCAGCTAATAGGAGCCGCAGGAAGCAGCGCACGCCACAGAGACATGCTGGCCACTACTTCCCACGGCTCCCATTGGCCAGGAACGGCGAACCGCGGCCCTGTGAGCTGTGGGGGGGCCGTGCCTGTGGACGGTCAATGTAAACAAAATGTCTCACGGTACGTCAGTGGATTACCCTGATGGGCCATGTGCCGAAGGTTGCCAACCCCTGCCCCACACTCAGACCCTCCACACTTGGATGCTGCCTTGCTGAGCCTGTCTGCCCACACCTTGTGTACCTGGCATGGAGAGGCAGGGCCCTGGGGTATTTCTAGGGCAGGTCCAGTCCTTGTGCTATGTCAGGGTTGGGTGCAGCCTCACTGCTGAATCCATGTCCTGGGGGGAGGAGCTGCACAGAGATCTCCCACCTTTGTGCAGCCAGTGGCCTGTGCGCCTCAATGCCATGATGGAGCCGCCACATTTATTTGACAAATAACATTTGCGGAATTCTGCAGAATTTTAAAATATTGTGCACAGAATTTTAAATTTTTTGGCACAGAATACCCTCAGAAGTAACTATACAAAGAGAAAAATTACTGAGGCAGGAGATCTTGCCTTGTTTCATGCATGCATGCATGCATTTTGTGTGTTACTTCAAGGAAGACTGGAGTCTTTCACAGCCCTGCCTTCTTCCAAATATATATATATACACACACACATACTGCACTTAGGTAACCCGTTGATTGTTAGATTATATAATGATCCAGTGTGCACGGTTAAATAACTTATTTTTGATACTTAATACATAGCAAAATTAAAACAGTCACAGTAAGGTGCATCTGCAATCTAGGGATTGTGCTGTGCCAAAGTTCAAATTTATTTAATCTACAGTTGAGGCAGTAGTACCCAAACAAACAAACAACAATCTACAGCTCGTTTGTGGAGTGTGTTGAACTAGTATTTACAAAACTGTTAGCTTACTCAGGTTAGTTGACAGTCAAGGAACTTGAGTTAAAACAGAAGCAAAAACTCAAGTCTTGACATCCCTGTTGTCCACAGCACAGGATCTGCACATTGTTGTCTTTTACAGTGGGTTGTCAAAGCCATGCCTCCTCTGGTTTGTTGCACATTAGTTTTTTTTGCAGGTCCATCAGACTGTATGTGAGCTTGCTGACAGATATTTTTTGCTTTGCACTTCTGTCCCATTTCTAGCCTTTTTTCTACAAAAGGGAACATATGGCTCACAGTGGGTGGTATAGAGACATAATTTTGATAAAATAACTAAAAATGTTAGTCTCTATAAAAATAGAGTAAAATATTAGAATTTTTTAGAAATAATCACAATTCAAGGTTCAGTGTTTCAAGATTAGAGTCATATTTTTATTGTTTAGAAAACTACAAACTTTCCAAAGAAAATTAGACATTTTCTTTTATGCAAATACTGAGTCTGATTTTTCTCTCCCTTTCCCCTCGTTTTATACCATTGTGACTCCACTGACTTCAGAGAAATTGCTCCTGATTTACAGTGGGTGTGAGGGAAGAAATAGCCCCACTGAATAAAACACTTCATTGTAATCTCTGTGGCATCATATACAGTTAACATCTTTTTTGTTTTACTTCTCCATTTAGATATAAAATCAGTAATGAACTTGAAATAATTTTTTCTCATAGAATAGGGTAGTTTATATCAGCAATGAAATTTAATCTAAAATGACAAAACAAAAATTAAAAAGGTTATTTTAAATTTGCTTTAAAACAGTGGTTCTCAAAGCTGGTCTGCCACTTGTTCAGGGAAAGCCCCTGGCAGGCCGGGCCGGTTTGTTTGTGGCGGGAAGTGGCGCGGGCCGAGGGATGTGCTGGCCGCTGCTTCCCACCGCCCCCATTGGCCTGGAGCGGCGAACCGCGGCCAGTGGGGGCGGTGGGAAGCAGCGATCGGCCGAACCTGCGGATGCGGCCAGTAAACAAACCGTCCCGGCCCACCAGGGGCTTTCCCTGAACAAGCGGCGGACCAGCTTTGATAACCACTGCTTTAAAAGACATATTTTACATGCATTAGAATGTCTTTTTCAGCAATGTCTATGTTTTGAGTTTATCAGCACTTGATCAAACTGCTGTCTGCTGTGTCATTTTTAGTGTGAAGACTAACAGCTTCAGACCACCAGAGCTTATTCATATTTAAATTTGCTGATAAAAATGTAATGAAAGCTATGCAAAATTCTACTTCTGAAATGTGACTCTGTAAAAATGACATTGTCGAATTCCAATTTTATTGTGTTTCAGTGGTTTCCTTATTAAATATGCTCAGTTTACAACTAAAAAGATTATTTTCTTCCAGCTCCGAGCCATGCAAACTCAGCTTGGTTTTGGGGAGTCAGGCTAAGGATTCCTTCTTTCTCATGCATCATCAGTTGTATAAAGATTCTGCAGGCCAATTTATATCCAGTGCAGAGCAATAGTGTCTTCACTGAGGTGGTATAAGTACATCTAATCAACATGCAATCAGAACTTATAAAACAATCTTATTTGTGATGTGTGAGCCAGATAAGAATACAACTCACTCATATCTGTATGGACTTTGAGGAGCTAACAAGTCAAATATTTTAAAGAGTGGGATGTGGAATAGTTTTTTTCACTTCAGCAATTGGATATGACTGTGAATTATCCACAGGGAGCACCTCCTTTGAGTAAGAAGGTGCATTTTTTACATAGTCACTCTTCAGAACAGTACTTGTACATTACTGAGAAACTCACTGTTATATGTTATTTCCTTATCATAAACATTATCAGCTGAAAAGAGAATCTCAGCTTCCAAATATATTCTTCCAATTTCTTTTGCTGGTGTTCCAAATTATCACTTAATGCAAAACAGAAAAGAAATCATTTTTTGTTTAACTACAGTTTGGGGAAAGTTAATTTCAAAAAATCTTTGTCTGTTTTGTATGATTTCTGTGTTCTTCACTGGTCAAAGAACAGCCATACAGTCCTAAAGTGCAATAGATATGTTCTAAATATCAAGCATTGCTTCTTGCTGTTTTGGATTGTATCATTCTGTTTTTGCTTTGGCATGAATTAATGTGTTCTGCAATGGCATACTGTGATGCAACAGCTGCAGTTTAATTGAGGACCA